AACATAATAATTTTCCATGGCAAAGCTCAGGGTGACTTTGTAGAAGACTGAATGAAATTGTCTCACATCTTGCTCAGATCTCTTCATAAAGCAAGGAAAAGTACAAAGCTTCCAAATAGCACTAAGTCAAAAAATCTACCAGTTTTCTTTTCTCAAGGAAGAACTGGAATTGAAATTATTTGATTGATAGTTTTTCTTTTTTATTAAACAGGATAATATAAAAAATAAGGGTATCTACCCTATTCGATCTTTTCTGATCTGGTATACCTTAGACAACATAATATCTACACCCACAGTTTTATGATACTAAATAAAGTTGATTATAGTAAAAAAAAGCAAAAACAAAACCAGAGCCACAAGAAGCATAAGCAAGTCAGTACTGGGGGCTGTGCACAGTGGCTCACACCTGTAATCCCATCACTTTGGGAGGCCAAGGTGAGGGGATCACTTGAGGTCAAGAGTTCCAGACCAGACTGGGCAACATAGCAAGACCTTGTATCTACAAAAAATACAAAAATTAGCTGGGCATGGTGGTGCACACCTATAGTCCCAGCTGTTAGGATCACTTGAGCCCAGGAGGTTGAGGTTGCCACAAGCCATGATGATGCCACTGTACTCCAGCCAGGGGCACAGAGGGAGACCCTATCTCAAAAATAAATAAATAAACAAATCAATAAATAAAACCATGTCAGTATTGGGAACCTTTTAAATCCTCTTGATATTTTCTTCTTTTTTCTTAAAGAACTCACCTGCTGGAGGCTTTCCTTCATTTGTGATGGTTTTGCCATCTGGATGATAACATCCCACCAGGCAAATGCCAAAGGATGTGACTGTAGAGGAGGGCCTGCATTCTTCTTGACTCACAGAACCACATGCCATTCTCAAAGTCACATTCCCTTGATCTTCCTTCTCTAGCCATGTGTCTCTTCCAGTTGGTGAATGTTGATAGTTTGGGTTCTTCAACCCTTGACAAGGTAAGCAGTTTGAACCAGTTGCTGAACCAAGAACAAGCAGGACATACACTTTGTCTCATTAGCATGCAAACTCCGAAGAAAAACAGTGATCAAATTGCGAGGTGGCTAAATCCACGTGTAGTTATCTAGCCCTCGAGTTTAAGTCTAACCTAATTACCTAAGTAAGTATTTCTGAATGGAACCTTGCACAGAACATTGTCTGGCTATGCAAACTTTATTTGTAACTTGTTATGAGAGAGAAAACATTTCTTTTTCTTTATTCAAAAAAACTTCACCATAGGTGCTATGAGAAAGGGAGTATGCTGGGCTCACTGAGAGGCCCTAGAAGCAGGTACATCATGGTCCTTGCCTTCAAAATTTCTTGTCGCTCAAGAAATTACTTTTTACATTTCTCTAGATCTCAGTTGTCTATGTAATGCATACAGTTTGAGAATTGGATTACATACTTTTGAGGTGACTTCATTCTTCTTTTTTTATTTTTAGAAACAGTCTTGCTCTGTTGCCCAGGCTGGAGTGAAGTGGCACAATCATAGCTCACTATAACCTCAAACTCCTAGGCTCAAGCAGTCTTTCTGCTTTGGCCTGCTGAAGCTCTGGGATGACAGACGTGAGCTAAGGTCATTTCTGTGACTCTAGAGCTCTTGAATCACACATACACTCTGCAGAGCACAAAGCTAATGTGAAAGGTTATTGGCAAAATCATTTAATGAGGCAGGAGATGGCTGAAGGCCAGGCGTTCAAGGCTGCAGTAAGCTGTGATCTTGACACTGCACTTCAGCCTGGGTGTCATAGTGAGACCCTGCCTCAAATAATAAATAAATAAATAAATAAATCATTTAATGCTGTATTGTGAATGACATTGTGTTACATGCCAATCAAAATATGTTAAATCGCCAGAAATTCTGTCCTTTGAAAGCTGCAAGTCTCCTCATAACTACCTAAAAATACCACACTGTGCCCCTATCTGTCCCTCCCATGATTGGCCTCTGCACCCATGCATAGATTGCTGCTTTCCTAAGGTGGAGCCTCTCCTGACAACAGGTATCCATCTTCTCTTCCTCTAGACTCATTCAGCACTCCATCTTCACTAAATTCAGTTTCTTTGACAGTTGCAAGCCTATTGCCTTGCATTATTAATATAAAATTAAGTATAATATGCCATTATGGAACAAATAAATGCTATGGAAACACTGAGGTAGAAGGATTTATTTGAATTAGGAGGATCAGAAGGCATCAGGGAAGAGACAATTTTTGAGTCTAATTGTTTTCAAGGGCAGGATCTGGTAAAGGAGTTTAGGTTTGGTGGTTGTGAAAAGCAATAATTGATGATGATGGTAAACTTCCAAGCTTTATTAAATAAATGAACTTCCAACTGGGGTAACTGAGTAATATGAATGCCATTTCCAACATAATACAAGAAATAAAGTAACTTGTGAAATGGGGAAAGATGTCGAACTTGCTTTTAGATACTTTTTTTTTTTTTTTTGAGATTAGGGTCTTGTTCTGTTGCCCAGGCTGGAGTGCAGTGGTGCTATGTTGGCTCACTGCAACCTCTGCCTCACAGGTTCGAGCAATTTTCCTGCCTCAGCCTCCTGAGTAGCTGGGACTACAGGTGCCCATTGCCAAACCCAGCTAATTTTTTGTATTTTAGTAGAGGCAGGGTTTCACCATGTTGCCCAGGCTGGTCTCGAACTCCTGAGTTCAGGCAATCCACTCACCTTGGCTTCGCTAAGTGCTGAGATTACAGGTGTGAGCCATAGCACCCAGCCTCCTCTCACAACTTAAAGACATGCGAGTTCAGTTCATAGGCTTGTTTACATGATACCAGTAGTTTTCCCTTTTTTTTTTTTTTTAAGAGATGGGATATCCGTCTATCACCCAGGCTGGAGAGCAGTGGCATAATCACAGCTTACTGCAGCCTCCAACTCCCGGACTCAAGCAATCTGCCTACCTCAGCCTCCTGAGTGGCTGAGACTGCAGGGGTGTACCACCATGCCCAGTTTTGTATTTACAGTAGAGATGGGGTTTCACCCTATTGCTCAGGCTTGTCTCCAACTATGGGGCTCAAGCAATCCACCTGCCTCATGCCTCCCAAAGTGCTGGGACTACAGGCATGAATCACCACCCCCATCCTAAATGGCCCCAGTTTAAGGGAATGGAGGGGTGTGTGTGTGTGTGTGTGTGTGTGTGTGTGTGTGTGTGCGTCTTGCAATAGAATGGCATCCTATCCAGGGATGGTTTCCACCTTTTGCTCAAGCTGAGCTGCTGGGATAGTCTTCCACTATCTGTGACCTTGAACTGGAATAAATGAGTTGGAAAAATGAATGAATCCATGAAACAAATGACTGTAAAATAAAAAGATGTAAGTGTACAATAATCATAAAAATGTATGACAATAAATGAGATAGGAGAGCACTCAGCTACCATATTTGTGATAGTTTTTTAATCTCATGGTAGCAGCAGGTTCTCCTGACAACTTTTTGCTTTGCAAACGCTTATTTCTTGATTTAACGCAGCACCACAGTAACCATTACTCACTGATTCACCAGAAATTTGGCAACGCATTATCTTGCTTTTATCAATCTTTAAAAAATGTAGGTGAGCCGGGTGCAGTGGCTGGCGTCTGTATTCTCAGCACTTTGAAAGGCTGAGGTGGGCAGATCCCTTGAGCAGGGGAGTTCAAGACTAGCCTGGGCAGCATGGTAAAACCCTATCTCTACCAAATAGAACTTGGTCAGGTTCATGCCTGTAGTCTCAACTACTGGGGAGGCTGAGGTGGAAGAATCACCTGAGCCCGAGGAAGTAGAGCCTGCAGCGGACTGTGATTGCACCACTGCACCGGCAGCCTGGGAGACAAAGCGATATACCCCATCTCAAGGGGGAAAAAAATTAAAAAGGCGGCATAGCTTACATTTATTTCAATGTTTAATATTAGAAGTGTTTTGAGTCTTTACTTTGAAGTTTGATGATGTTTTTGTGACCAGATATAATTGCTGTAGGAACTTAATTCTTTTTTTAAATGTTAGCTTATGACGAATTTGGTTTTGTGATATGTTGTTTTGCTTAAGGCGATAGTTTCCAAGAACCTGTTCAGTGAGGACTGGTGGGCTGGGTCAGAGTAAATACATTGTACAGAATGAAGACTGCCGGGATGACATGGGGGCAGCAGGGTTTTAGACATACTTGGAATGGCAGCTTCCTGAAGTAAGCCAGGTATTCTCATCATAATAAAGGGCTACATTTAGGTGTATCTGGAGGAAGACAGTGAACAGATTTCCATGGAAGAAGGTGAATGCGCTGGAAAACAGGCAGGGATGGCAAGGACCATGGTGATGGATTCCAAGTAGAAGATGCACTTTGGGGCATGATTCTCCTGGTTAAGCCAAGGGCTCTAGATGAGGATCCCAGGGTCCTGCCCCGGGCACGGAGTGGGTCCACACTATTAGGTGGGAGTCTCCCTCTTGAATGACTCCAGGAGGCCCATATCGAGGGTGTGAAAGGCCCCATGGTGAACGGCACAAAGGTATTAAGTTCATCTCAGGGACTGACCAGAAACGTGCCCAGGTCCTTCCCCTCGGTGCTGGGAAGCCCTGGTCTCCCTGCAGCATTTCGCACCTCGCTGGGTCTCCCGACTCGCGGAGTGGGCGAGCACAGGTCCCTGAGCTTCCCTCCTTCGCCTGATCGACGCCTAGGGACTCCTCTCCCCAACCTCCCCGCTCTGCCCACCCTGTCCCCTCTCCTCGGGGAGCCGCAGGGGACGCCAGGCCGGGTCCCCAGGCTCTCCGCGCGCACCCCGCGGCCTCTTCCGCGGGCCGGGAGCGAACGTCCCGAGCTCGCCCGGGCACAGGGGACTGCCCGGCCGCAGCGAAGCCGGGGCGGCAGGGCTCAGCCTAACGGTCCGGTGGCCGCGCCCCGCGCCCAGCGCCCGGCGCCCCGCCCGCGGCGCAGCGGTCGCCTCCCGCCCTCCCGCCCCCTGCGTCATGACGCCGGCGCCCAACGCGGAAGCCGCTCGCGGTGCGCCGGGTCCAGCCGCGGGCTGAGCGCGGAGCCGCGGCGGGCGCGGGATCCGGGCCGGGGCGCGAGCCGAGCGCAGCCTGCCGGGCCGAGCGGGCGGAGCGAGCCGAGCGGGGCCGAGCGCGCCAGCGGCGGCGGCAGGCGGAGCGGAGCACGGCGCGCCGGGGCCGCCACCGGGGGGATGCGGCTACCTTCCCGGGCCGGGGTGTAGAGAGGGCGGGTCCCCGGCCTCGGGAGCGCGGCGGTGGAGGGGACTGAGGAGGAGGCCATGGCGACCCCCGGCAACCTAGGGTCCTCGGTCCTGGCGAGCAAAACCAAGACCAAGAAGAAGCACTTCGTAGCGCAGAAAGTGAAGCTGTTTCGGGCCAGCGACCCGCTGCTCAGCGTCCTGATGTGGGGGGTAAACCACTCGGTAAGGGCTCGGCTGCGGCGCGCGGTCCCCTTCCTCCTCTTCTTCCTCCTCGCTCCCCTCCTCCTCCGGCTGCAGCGGCTGCGGGGCGGGGAGCCCCAGCCTGCCCTGGCCCTCCGGCTGCTCGCCCGCCTCGGAGCCCCTGGCCCCGCGGCGCGCGCCCCTAAGCCCTCCGGGCCGCCCGGGCACCATTTGCGCCGGATTTAGACCTAGAGCCGCCTGCGGGACTGGGGTCCCGTGTGCATGTGAGTCTCACGGCTGGTGCTGGTGCCCGTGCCGCCCCCCGTTCGCCCGCCTGCCCACAGGTCTGTCCCCGCAGCCTGGAAAGTGGTAAGTTTGTGCGGGGCACGGCACCGCTTCGGCTGTCAGCCCCGGCGGGGGCTGCTGGGGGCCGAGTCTCGGCGACCGCTGCCCAATGTGGGGGCGGCGTGGCGCCCGCGTCCTCCGCCGGCTGGCGGGTGTACCTGTCCCGGGCTGGGCGCGGACGAGCCTCCCACGGGGGCACTGGGGCGAGGATACTGGAGAGCGAGCAGATTTGGGGCAGCAGCTTTACTGCTTAGGTCCTTTCCTTTTCCTTTAAAGGCAATATTATTGGGCATAATTCGGCTTTTTGGCAAAGCAGCAGCAGATGTAAATATGGCTCTGGCGTCGGGCGACATCCCTGCGCCTCTCCCGCATCGCCCTGCCGCTGTGCGGGGTGGAGAGCCCTTGGCGGGGAGTCTTCCTCCCCTCGTCGCCTACCCCCACTTTGGGGAGCCGGGCAGAAGTCACCGACTGCGGAAGGGTGGCCGGGGTGGAGACGGCAGGCAGGGGTCCCGGCGGGCGCGGGCGGAGGGGGTCCCGAGTTGGCCGCACCCGCTGTGGTGGGGGGACGGGAAATGCTGGAGGAGAACGCGTGGAAAGGTTAGCGTCACTCACAGTCGGGGGTTGGAGGATGCGCTGCTGCGGGCTATGCGGACTGCGGTTCGAGGGTCTGAAATAGCCTCCTGCTGATCTGACAGCGAGAAACTCCTGCAGTTTTAATCCAGTTAGATAGGATCTGGAAACATGATCGGAGCTGTTGGCTCAGCCAGGAAAGTTTAAATGAGCCTGTGAATTTTGACCATGACCTTAGCCACTGCAGTCACTTAGCATCTGGGAAAAGTAAGTCCGCTTCCCCTGCTTTTGATTTCGGTGACTGTCTGTATGTCCTTTTCAGCGTAATGGAAATGACAGAAAACCTTGTTGGTTTTTTTTTAAAAAAGAACACACTTTCAACGTAGTGAGGTTGTTTAAAATGCCTCAAAAGCATCGTTTTTTCTTCCCCAAGTCGAGCAGGGGGAAGGGCGAAACAGTATCAGGATCGATCGTGTTTGCATGGAGTGTTTTTGAAAAAGTTGAGAAATGATTATTTTTATCCAGCTTAATGACTGATTGAAGTTTATTTTAACTTCCCGACAACTTCTTTAGCTGTTTGGGAGTGCAGGTTCTTAGAAGAGCATGCATTACGGCACCAAAAACTCCTCTCCCAAGTTTTATTACAGAAAATGAAACGCTGTTTTTCCTATGTGATAAGTTTACAATGCAGTTACATATAATTTTGGTAAGCTCTTTTATTATTTGTGTTATTAGTTTTTGGTCCCTTATTACTAGAATAGAAACTTACTAATTTTTTTTAAAAAAGGACGAATACTGTAGTGCTTACTCATTTATGGTGCCTTTATCTCCTTTGGAGTTCTGGTGTTTTGGTATGGAGAGTGTTTCTGTCTCGGGGTTTAATTTAGTAAGATAGTGTCAACAATATGCTGCCTAAAAAGAGTGTGCTTTCTGGGAACTCGTCTGAATTCCGGTTTGCCTTAGAAAATCTTGTAATCCTTCATGTTTTATTGTAACCACTTACGTTGCCACCTTATAGTGATGAATTGCTACATTTGTTTTAGAGTTTCTTGCTAAATGGAAATATTTTGAAACTACTTGTTTCATAGTGTATGACTTGTAAATAGTATATTTGGGGTTACTTTCTTTTGCTCTGAAGAAAAGTTTGCAGTTTTAAGTATCCACAACCAGAGGAGTGGAGTTTCCATTTCATGTATATCAATGTGAGCATGTTATTCATTCAACAGATACATTGGGTACATACAGTGTAATCTACTTTGGGAAGGATTGCTAAAACACCTGTAATATTTTTGTCCAAATATCTTTATTTTGAGGACTCTGAGTTGACATAAGAAAGGTCTCTTTCGCAGCCTTGTTTTTCAAAATGTCCATTTACTATGTTATTTTTGAAAAAAGAATGGATGTGTAATATAAACATGAAATCTAAACACTTAGATGCCATGTATTTCTGGTTTGATTTCATTTTAGGTGACAATGTCTGATATTAGATAAATGTTTTATATGACCTTCTGTGCACCAAAGTTTTTAGTATAATCGGGTAATAAATGCGTCAACAGTCTGAACATGGTGTTGTTTATGAGCCCCTTCCACATACTGTGGTAAAACGCTCATTGGATCGGCGCTTTAAATCTTTCTTAAAGTCTAATTGTTGACCTTGGGCATGTTAAGGTCAGGTTTTTGCATCAGTGTTCGCACCTGTGAACTAGGGCTGTTCGGATGATTTCCAGGTTTTCTAACTCAAGATTCTACTGTATTTTCAGTCTACGAGGTGCACAGTGTGCACCTCGTATAAAGGATTCGTGGAATACTTTATAATACAAGTTGTCTTACTGTTATAGCCTTCCAAATGCAGCAACATTCAGGGAATTTTCAAGACCTTGGCTAGATGGAAAGGAAATCTATGGTGATTTTAAGAGACTGTGAACTAAGAGTTTGTTATATTGAATGTAGCTGAACTGCATTGCAGTCTATTAAGCCAAAGTCGATTTGATTGAAATGTAACAACTTGCAATTAAGGTGAAAATGTTCAAGTCTACTGAGGTGGTAATGAAAATCTTGATTTGGGCAATAATCAGAGTTGGGAATAAGCCTGCCATTGTGTGGTTAATTTGATATGTTACTGCTTTCTAACTTAAAATACCCATCAGTGAATGAATCATTGCCAATTTTTATTTTAAGTATTTTAAGCAAAGAATATAACTGAATACATAAAGGAAAAAGTGACTTAAGAAGGCAGTTTTGTCTTGTTACATTTAGAATTAAACTAAAAATGATCAAGCAGTAAGCATCTCAAGATGATATTTTAATAGTGTGGGGAGCATGTTGAATGATATGAGCCAAGACTTGTTTTAAATAGATATTCTCAAAGACTTTTATACACAGTGCAGTGTGAGCCTTTTAGAAATTAGTATTTTAAAATCTATGTAAATATCCAAAGGAAAACATTATCTGTATAGAGAAATCTTAAAGCACATAAAACTTGTTTAAAACAAATATAGTATTTAGAAGTGGCCACGTATTGATGTTAGAGGCTTTTGGTTTGAAGCGGTAGAAGTTCGGATGAGCTTTGGCAAACATTTCGGGTATTGAGGGGTTTGGGGGGCCTATCACAGTAGAAGGAAAGATTGGACAGAACCATGTGAAGAGCTGGGTGCTGGAGAGAGTGGGTGAGTGAGTGCGTGAGACTTTTCTGTACCTTTGGCTCTGTTCTCCTTCATAGCTGACTGGTTTCCTCCACAGAGCAGGTAATGAAGGGTTTCTGTATTTCACATTTTGTCATTTCTGCTCCTCGAAAGGGCTTCCTGACTCTAATTTAGTTATAAAAATCCCATGGAAGGATTCCACTTGAGATTGGTCTAGCTTTGGTCCTTTGTGGCCATCCCTTGGACTGAGTAGTTATAAAAACATGACAGTGCCTGCCTGTTGGCCTTGGGGAAAGAACAGTCCCCAGAGGGGGAAAGGGCCTGCCAGGCAATGTCAGATAGGACTCTGTCCTGCTAATAGAGCTGGATGCTCTGGATGTCTTTGGGTACTTCCCATGGGCATCTGTGAGGGCCAGCCTGATGAATGCCATGTGCTGTGGTGTGTGGGTTGGAGAATTCGTGATGTCCTTGGTGGAGCATCAGTAGCTTTGATTATTTTCTCCACAGGCTCTGGGACTTGGAATAGATAAAGACCATATTGGGCACATCATAATTGTTTGTTTAGGTTCATGGGTTTTTATTTGGCACTGAAAAAGATAAGGAAACTAAGGACCTTGACTTAATAGGATATAATAAAGCAATTAGATTAAAATTAAAGTTATCTAGACATTAGGTGAAATTCTTGAGTGGAACCCAGCTACCATTCATTCAAGAACTAGTCTCCTCACACTATTTTTTTGTTCTCTTTAACATTCAAAGGAAAGAAACACACCAAGCAGACATACAGAAAGTTTATTAGGGAAGTTGTTTTATATTCCCTAAAACTTGGGATTATATCCAGAGAACAGAATACATTTCCTCTCCATTTATTAGATACTTTAGAGTGAACTTTAATTATTTATACTTAGAGTGAACCCTAAGTATTTATACTTAGTACTTAGTGTTACTAAACTTCATTACTCACTCAGAATGATGCCCCATGTCAGGTCAATGATTTCTCTTTCCAGGTATGTTGATCTGCTGTGCCTTTAGAAAGGTTGCCAGCAAGAATTATAATAAACCACCAAATCTACCTTAAGTTGATTAAAAAATGCAGTCAGCCAGAGTAATTAATTCTGCTAGCATAGCCTTTGAAATACAAATTTTGAAATTGAAGGGAATTGGTGCAATTTGGCAAAAATGGTTTGTGGTTGGACAGATGAGGTTCATAGGCTGACATCGGCATTGATGGAATCTTTGAGCAGGTGACTTAGTCACTTGAGCCTCAATTTACATATTTTTAAAATGGAGATAATGAGGATGACCTCACAGGGTTGGGGGTTAAATGAGATACTGTATTTAAGGCCTAGCACTGTAATTAGCACATCATAAGCATTCAGTAAATGATGCCTGAAAGTGATAAAGTTGAAATGCAGTTAGGATAGTGAAATATTAAAAGAGCCAGATTCCTGTTTCTCAAAATTTAAGGGGCATATCAATCACTTG